CATTATGAGTTTTTGGTTATGCCTTTTGGACTCACCAACGCCCCCTCCACCTTCCAGGCCCTCATGAATGACATCTTCAGGCCATTCCTAAGGCGATTTATTCTGGTATTTTTCGATGATATTCTGGTGTACAACAGGGATTGGGACACACATATGAAACATCTGAAACTCACCCTCTCAACTCTAAGGGGGCACCAGTTACATGCCAAAATGACAAAGTGTTCCTTTGGACAAGGACAAATTCAATACTTAGGCCATGTGGTTGTAGCAGGTCGGGTCATGGCAGATCCATAAAAGGTAGACGCCATCCAGAAGTGGCCCAAGCCCACTATTGTAAAGGCTCTACGGGGCTTTCTTGGGCTTACCGGATATTATAGGCGCTTCATTAAGGGGTATGGGCTTATGGCCGCCCCTCTAACGCGCCTGTTAAAGAAGGATTCCTTCAGTTGGACTGATAAAGCCCAACAGACTTTTGAAGACTTGAAGACAACAGTTTCTAGCCCTCCAGTCCTCACTCTTCCAGACTTCTCTCAACCCTTTGAAGTGGAATGTGATGCGTCGGGTGTAGGAGTAGGGGCCGTCTTGATGCAGAAGGGGCAACCCATTGCTTATTTCAGCAAGGCTCTCTTAGCAACTCACCAAAGTCAGTCCACTTATGTCAAAGAAATGATGGCTGTGGTAATGGCAGTGCAAAAGTGGCGTGCATACCTATTGGGATGCCAATTTGTTATTAGGACAGACCAACGAAGTTTGAAGTACATAGCAGAGCAAAGGGTGCACACCCCGGAGCAACAAAAATGGCTTAGTAAATTGATGGGCTTTGACTACCTCATAGAATATAAGCCAGGGCCCGCAAACAGAGTAGCTGATGCCTTGTCACGAGTAGAAGAGTTAGCCCATCTGACCTGCTCTCAGCCCAACTTCCCTTTGTTTGAAGCTATACGGCAAGAAGCCAGGTATGATCCGCAGTTGCAGGTCATTAGGGTGCTACGGACCCTAAAGAGGCTCAGTAGCCACTATCATTGGGTAGGAATGCGTAAGGATGTATTGCACTATGTATCCGAATGCCAAACCTGCCAATAGCAGAAATACTCGTCACAGTCTCCCGTTGGCCTTCTACAACCCCTCAAGATTCCAGATCAAGTGTGGGAAAACCTTTCCATGGACTTCATCACGAGTCTTCCTCGTTCTGCAGGAAAGGAGGTTATCATGGTAGTGGTTGATCATCTCACCAAGTACAACCACTTCTCTACATTACCTCACCCTTACACGCAACAATGGTGGCTGACATCTTCATCTGGGACGTCGCCAAGCTGCATGGAACCTCAAGATCCATTGTCTCAGATCGGGACCCTGCTTTCCTGAGTTCATTCTGGAAGGAATATTTTCGGTTGCAAGGAACCCAATTGCACCCCTCCACAAGTTATCACCCACAGACTGATGGGCAGACTGAAGTTCTTAATCGTTGCTTGGAAGCCTACCTTAGATGTTTCATAGGGGAAAAGCCTCGACAGTGGGCTCACTGGCTTCCGTGGGCAGAATACCGGTACAATTCGACTTATCAGTCAGCTGCTGGAATGACACCCTTCAAAGCTCTATATGGCAGAGAACCTCCTCCCATATTACCTTAATATGGGTCATCCAAGGTGGTAGAAGTAGAGACCCGTCTACTTGCGAGAGACGAGATTCTTAGATTGCTTAAGTCCAACTTGACAAAAACCCAAGAGCGAATGAAGGCCCGCTATGACACTCACCACCGCCCATTAGAATTTCAGGTGGGTGACTTCGTTTACCTTAAGCTCCAACCTTACCGCCAAATCTCGGTAGTAAGACGGGCTTGGCACAAGCTAGCACCCATGTATTATGGGCCTTATAAGGTTCTGGAGAGAATGGGCCTTGTTGCTTATCGGTTGGACCTCCCTGGAACCTCAAAGCTTCATCCAGTGTTTCACATCTCACTTTTTAAGAAGGCGGTGGGAAATCAAACACCTGTCTCACCCAACTTACCCCAATTCACTGAAGAAGGGGACATTGACACGGAGCCTATCAGAATTGTGGATTTCCGTTGGGTTCGACGAGGTGGTCAGGTTGTGCCAGAAGCCAAGGTAGAATGGGCTGGGCTTCCTCCAGATGATGCTACTTGGGAACCTTATCTTAGGCTGAATGAGAGGTTTCCAAACCTAGACCTTAAGGGCAAGGTCAATGCTAAGAGGGGAGGAATTGTTGGGACCCAAACACTCCCTCCGAACCCAACTATAGGAGTGGAGCAGGCCACCGCCAAACAACATTTCACTAGAAGACAGAAAGGCTAGCATGACACGCGGCAGAGCCTCCCAGAGTTAGTTACACTACCACCAGAAAATATTCTCTCCATGATTGCATACATGTAGGCCAGCTATATAAGGCCTTGATCATGTAATAAGTGGCGTGAATGAATATCCCTTTCATCTCTCTCTGAGTCATTTTCTTCCTACCTTTCCCCTCTCTTCCCC